ACCTCAGGGCCGGCGTGCAGCTGGAACAGAGACGGCCTGAACTGCCTCCGTCGGCCCCACACCTCCGTGTTGGCATAGAAGTCGTAGCGCGGCGGGGCATCCAGAGTCTCGTAGCCAGTTAAATCAACAGATACGCGAGATGCGACACTGCTGCCATCCCCATCACACGTGTAGTAATCGGACTCAAAGCCTCCTGATGTCGCTTTACCATTAGCCACTGGCGCAGGGAGATTGGCTCTGTAGGCAGCCAGGCGAATGCCATCATTGGCTCCTTGTAACTCCATTCAGAACAGCAGAATTATCTTTTTAAAAATGTCTGTGACCACGAGTCTAGTGAAGAAAGGGAGCCGACGTTGAGCGTCCTATCCCAGCGTCTGAGTCAGTGACTGTGCAGGAGCCATGCTGTAGCTCAAGATGAAAGAGGGGTTGGTTTTATATTTGACCTTAACTATGCAGGAAGAGCCTGAAGCCGTGGTAGAGGGCTAGTTCAGTGAACAATTAAACAACTTATTACACAACCTATTAAGCCTGACACGGACAATTTCACATGACAGGGTCAGCCCCTTTTGGACTGAGCAGGGCCAGTTAACACACGGTTCCATTTTTATGGAGTCACATGCGCAACGCCCTTCAACACTTCAAAGTTTTCCAAAAGCTCAAATAATGGAGGAGTTACCAGAAGTGGGGGATTTTATAGCCTGTGTGTACTTCTTATTGCTCAATTTCGAGAAGTTGGTAATCTCCTGAGGGGACTTTTGGTTAAGATGTAAAACAGCATCATTACAGACAAACACGCACCTGCAGCGTATCCTCGACAGTTAAATCAGTCAACAGAGCATGAAAGAGTTGGAAATTATCATGACTTTTCCAGTCGCATTTCAGTTTCACTTGTTTCTCTGCATCAAACCAATACGGTGTTAATTATACCCTAAAAATCAAGACAAATATCTAATGTCTGAAAATGTAAATTTAGAAGAAAAAAAATCGACTGGATATTTTGTTTGGATATCTTGGCTAAAAGACAGAGCTACAGACAACATGCATCACTGTGAAAGTTCTTCTTGGCGACGCTACACAGCACCACAAACGTGTATCACCCAAAATGGGAAGGGGGGTCAGGAGGGCACTGGCCACCACCCAAATACTGGGCATCCCCTGGCAAGACTGCCCCATGTTGGCAATAATTTTAGTAAACGTGAGCAGAAGACCGAGGAAGACACCCTACAATGAGCTGAAACATTTACTTATTCATATAGAATTGTCGTCATTCACACTGTGCCACTTTGTCGGCCCCTCACAATTTCCCGTCGCCACCCCCTCCCCTCCGTTGCTCTGTTTTTGGTGTACCACCCCAATATTTTCAGGTGCCTCGATGTGGCCATCCCTATGAATACGTTCTGGAAGAACGTCATTGTTCCCCCACAGTAACAAATGCCAACCTCACTGTTTAAAAGTCACAGGCTCTCCATACAAGCTATGATTAATGCAAACTTTCACAGAGATTCGTGTCATATTTACTACTGCATGATGCATGACAACTAAAAATGATCTTCAAATATTTCGTTTGTTTTGTGAGATCCTTTAACCTCCTAGCACCTGCGTCCACATATGTGGACATCACATGTTGGGTTATTTAGACCAAAATACTCAATTTTGATACGTTTCATCTTTTCAAAGTTAATGAAGATCAGATCCTGTTAGTCTTTTCTTTAGAACAATTTAACGTGAGCGTGCCAATCTGTGATTACAGCAGAATCGTCACTTTATCGACCACCACATGGAAACATTATGGAACAAACATACACCCGAGACTGTGACAAAATATAACTTTTAGTCTACTGTAAACCTAGAACTTAACCAACCCGTCCTCAGAAACAACAGTATTAACACTTCACTGATGTATTCTTTTCGTACTCGGCATCATGTTGGGAATAAACCAGATTAACTCATACTACATGCATTCATGGAAAGATACAAACAGTTGTTAATCTGACAGATGTAACTTGTTGCATCTCTTCACGCTGCTTTGTCAAAGTATAACCCCGTCACTCAGCTTCCTCAGACGTTCTTGTCATATTCGAGCTGCAGAGCACCTGAAACATTTATTTTGCTCACAGGACTAATTCTGTCTTTTTCACAGAATCCGACATGAAATACAAACTTATTTTACTGTTCGTAAGTTTTGGGCTGTAAGAGTAACTTTGGTGACATCACTGTGATGTCACCTGGTTATTTTTCCAGAATTAAACTTCTTAGTTTTTGCCTGCAGCTGAACAGTGCTGTTACGACACCTTGATAACAAAGAAAAGACCCATTTCCACTTAAAGGTGGAGGCTCATTACTCTGAATTACTTCTTCCTTTTTAAAACAGTTAAATAATTAAGCTGGGCTGTGTGTTCGGCAGCTGCAGCTCTGCAGTTTAAATAACTGACCTTGAAGCAGAAAAACAAACAGAGACACCCAGCAGGTTTTAAAGCTCTGGGTTTATCCGTTTTCTCTTATATAAATCTGAGATAACTGCAGTGTCCTTCAGTGTTCAGGTAAAATGTAACTAAGCCCCACATGTTGTTTAAATCTGTACCGTCTACTTAATTAACCTTCATTTTGTCATTTACAACAGTGCTATTGGATTTTGCATTTTAAGCTCTGCCATGCTTCCCATAGATCAGGTATAACCAAACTCATTTTACACTGTGAGGCAACCGAGTAAAATTAAATATGTAAAATAAAAGTTCTGCTAGTTCATTGTCCAGCCTGTTCTTGTAACTGGTAAATGGTTCTTATATAGAGTTTTTCCCACTGCGAGCACCCAGAGTGCTTTACACAACTTGCCTCATTCACCCAGTCAGACAAACACTTTCTATGCTTTTTCATGGTAAGAGCCATTTTTAATTACAGAATATGACGTTTTCATTAACTCAAAGTCTTTTCATTTCCAAACAAAAATGAAAAACAAAAATTACATTTATGTGATCGACAGTAGGAAAAGCAACTTTGTCTAACTCTGTTATTAGGTGTTGTGTCAGTGGTGAAGTAAGCATCTATCTCAATAGGAAAAACTACAAAACTATGGCCATATTTGAGCTTTTGCCAGGGTAACTGTGGGCCCAGGACTTATGTTTGACACCGCGGCATAGACTGCACCAAGGTAAACTGGACAGATAAACATGACTCTGCTTTTTGTTCTGCCCTCATTGACATTTCGATGTCGTTGATCATTGTTATGTTTTATCATTTGATTCCATACTGAGGGAACAAAACCATCGCTTCCTGCAATGATGATCTCATCAGGAAATAGTTACATTGATTCCACTGAGGAAAACCCACAACTGTAATGAATTTCAAACGCGATACTGCAGCAACAAACGTTTTCCTTATCTGCTCGTTTTTTTCCCCCTCTTTTTTTTGGGGGGGGGAGGGGGCACAGTGGATCATCTTCCTCAGTCTCATCCTATCCCAGCATCCTCCTCTGTAACGTCAACATGCATGTCCTCCTTCACTACGTCTGGAAGCATTTATCTGGTATATTCACTCTCCCTCGGCTGCACGTGTGCAAACCATTTCTGACCTCTCGGACTCCGAGCTTCCCTCTGAGGACTCATTTCTAATTCTGTTCATTCCCAATGAACATCTTAACTTCTCAGAGCCGCTCTCAGCTTAAAAACCTTTCCTTTTACTCTCACTGCTCTGAGTCCATCACAAAACACCCCTGACACTCGTCTTCACCCATGTCGCCCTGCCTGCTCTATCCTCTTCTCGCTGCTCCGTCTGTTGTTTTGGACGTTTGACTCCAGGTATTTAAAGTCCTCCCCCCTGCTCCTTGCAGCTTCAATGTTACACCGGCTTCCTCTCATTCGTGCCAGATGTGTTCGTTACACTGGCAAACTGTACAAGTACTCAGACTAGTTATTTTCAATGGAAAATGTATATGGTTTGGTGATATGGATGTAAATATGATATTCATGTCCTCAACTCTTGAACCCAGTGAAAAAGTAAAGACCTTTAATAATCTACAGTCTGCCAATTTTAAAAGGGCAATTAAAATGTGTGTGAATGGGTGGTGATTTTCCAGCACACTAAGCAGCAGTAACCTCACTTCAAGAGCTACGTTGGAGTCCTCTTCCTCCTCTCCCTCTCGATGTACTTGCTCCTTCAACTACTCCAGTGAGTTCTCATCGTTGAATACAATAGACTACACATTTGTGAAGAGTCTGAGATTTGACAAAGACTCTGAACTGTTTTCACTGCAGCTAATAAAAACTAAACTGGTACCTCAACACTATACCCCGCTGTGATAAAAATACTGGGTACGAGCAGATTAGGTTTCATAAACGCAAAGTTACCAACTTGCAATTAGAAGGGAAAAGTAAACTATGAGAGTAATGGAGGCAGTGTGCAAGGTTTGCAGTGGCAGTGGGAAAGACCTGAGCTCCCACGGAGGCCCCACCAGATTCCCACTACAAGTATCACACATGATTCTCTTTAGACAAAGCTAAAGACAACAAAAGCCACTCCATGAAAGTGGAGAGTTACTTTTCTGGGAGTGTGAAAAAACAAGACCGTGGTGAGTAAAGCAAATAAAGGTTAAATATAACTAAATGCTGCTGGGCTAGCCTCATCTGCGGAGGAGACATTTGAATAACAACTTCAGCCAGTACCACAATATTTCTCTCTTTTGCTTTAACATTTTATATTTGTTAATTTAGCTAGCAGAGCAGTCTAGTGTGTCCAACTCTGACCGAGACATGACTGAGCAGAGTGATCAATTTGTCTTTACACTGTTTAAAACACACTGGTGTTTGAATATTTCTTAGATAATAACACGGGTAGAAGGGCTGCTCAGGGCCCCACCAGACTCACCAGTGGTGGAATAACGGGAATCTAGACAGACTCATTATTTATGCTAACAATTAAAAATGCCAGTGGTGAGCAGATAACTTCATAAACCAGTTTTGCATTAGGGGAAAACAAAAAAGGTTTAGGGATGTATTGTTGGGGGGGGGGGGAGTCTCGAAGAGCTTAGATTTGGAGACAAATTTTTTTCTTTTCATACAAAGGGTAAGATCCACCATTCAGTGACTTTTAGAAAAACTAAAAGCAAGAAATGTTTCAGAGTTGGCCAGTATACAACCATGAAATGTTATTGGATTGCTTTACACTCAATACAATTCTAGAGACCACAAGGATGAGTGACTAGTTTTCTATAGATAGTGAACATCGTTTATTTTCCATCAGTGCCACTCTTCCACAAGTGGTTAACCCACAGGTCAGACTACAAGATGGTCACCTAAGGGTTATAAACCATGTAACAATCACGTAACTGACTATGTTCCCAATCACACCATTTACAACTCTATTGGATCTGTTGGTAATTAAAGTTTGAGCTAATGCAGGAACTAAAACACACAAAAACAAGCAAGAAACAACACAAGACATTCCTCTACCTTTAACTGAAAATGCTTTATGGTGGTAAACTCTTGGCCAGCCAGACTGCTTCTCTGTGGCCTGTAGACTGCGACTTCAACCATGGAAACCCTGAGGTTTCCTTATCTTAGATTAATGTCCTAGTAGTGATGCAGTGCCAATGCAACAAGTGCAACAACTTGTCAGTGTTTTAATCTCAAACCTCCAACAAAAACATGAAAACAGCCTCTTTGCACCTCTGCATTTATACAGTTTGAAGAAACTACAGGTCACTGTGCTCGGCTGCAGCTCTGTGAAATACCATGACATCCTGGAGGCTTTTTGCTGTGAAGCTGCAGGGCACAAGATTAGACTAAAAATCAGTGCACCCGGCCACACAAACATGGAAAGCTGCGCTCTGCAAGAGCGCAATCTATACTTCATGTTTTTTGTATGGATTAAACAAAAACAAAAAGACTTCGGTCAGCTTAACAGGTTGAAGTAGCTAGATATTTCTAACCTTTGCTCTGACACCTGCTCTCAGTTTGTAGTGCACAGACATGACTGTCACTGTTTCGTCTTGAGAGCAGCCAATCAAAAGACTTAAACAGGATGGAGCATGGGCACTTTCACATGAGTAGACAGTAGATTAACATCTCTTCAGTTCAAGTGCACAACTGTAAGACAAGAGATTCAGACATTATACCAGTTTTCACAGATGTATTCAAATCATAAGAATGTAATGACTCACCTAAACCTCAGGTACTTTTTGCTTCCAATTGAACTGACAAGGCTGTTATCAAAGTGTTGTTAGGTAGGATGAACAGAGGTGAGGATGAAAATGGTTCCAGATTGTTTGGGTTTGTATCCTGGTTGTCACTGGAGATGAAATCAGAAGGGCTGGTGGCTGGATATGAAAAAAGAAGTCTTGGAAGCAAAGGGATGAACTGTGAACTCTGATAGCTTTTGACAATTGCAGACTTAAAACCTTGAGCCTGAACTTGTTAAACATAAGCAAGTTCGTTATGACCATCACTTCCAGCCACATCAAAAAGTTTTGGGTAGTCGTGTTTCCTGTTGAATTTGTTTCTGGCAGAGTCCTGTCTTTGGACTCTCATTTGGCTTGAAGACATCGTTGACCTGTCCTGAAAATATGGCCAACTGTCATAAGATTGCATTTTGGCATGAACCGGCTCATAATTCTGACGTGCAGCTGCAGAGTTAAAGGCAGGCCCCTCTGATCCAAAGTGGGTTGAAGTTGACCGCGAGTTCAAGTAAAATGGCTCATAAGCCTGTTGTGCTTGTGAGTGTCCAATAGCAGCATAGTTTAAGGCAGGCCAGTCTGAGGTTAACCGATCTGAGCTTGATTGTGGTTTAATATGAAATGGCTCATAAGTTTGCTGCTGTGGTGCTGCGAAGTTCAGGAAAGGCTTTGCAGATGCAGCCATGGTTGAACTAGATTGTGGTTTAATTGGATGTGGCTCATAAGTTTGCTGTTGTGTTGTTCCAAAGTAAGGTCGCTCTGATACAGCTGGGGTTGAACTTTGTGGTTTAATGTGAAATGGCTCATAGGTCTCTTGCTGTGGTGCTGCAAAACTTAGGAAAGGCCTTGCTGATGCAATGAGGTTTGAATTCGATTGTGGTTTAATGGGATGTTGCTCACGAGTCTGTGTTGTTCCAAAGTTCACAAGAGGCCGTTCTGTTCCAATATGCTTTGAACTTTGTGGTTTAACACCAACTGGCTCATGAATGTTTTGCTGGGGTGATGCAAAACGTAAAGGCCTCACTGGTTCCACCAGGGTTGAACTGGACTGTAGTTTGATGGGATATGGCTTATAAAGCTTCTCCTGTGCATCTGCACCAGCAGAGTTTAAGAAGGGTTGCCTTAATCCAATTATGGCAGACTTCGATTGCGGTTTAACTAGATATGGCCCATAACTCTGGTGTTGTGTTGTTCCAAAGTTCACAAAAGGCCGTTCTGCTCCAACCTGATTTGAACTTGGTGGTTTACCACGAACTGGCTCATGAATGTGATGCTGTGGTGATGTAAAACGTAAAGGCCTTGCTGGTTCAATCAGGGTCGAGCTTGACTGTAGTTTGATGGGATATGGCTCATAAGGTTTCTCCTGTGCTTCTGTACCAGCAGAGTTTAAGAAGGGTTGCCTTAATCCAATCATGGCAGAGTTTGATTGTGGTTTAATAGGATATGGCTTATAACCGTCGTGTTGCGTTGTTCCAAGGTTTAGGAAATGCTGTTCTAATTCAGTCATGGTTGAACTTGGAGGTTTAACACGAACTGGCTTATAAGTCTGCTGCTGTGTTGTTCCAAAGCTTAAGAGAGGCCTTGTTGACTCAGCCAGAGATGAACTTGGCTTAATATGAACTGGCTCACGAGTCTCTTGCTGGGGTGTTGCAAAACTTACGAAAGGTCTTCCTGATCCAAATAAAGTTGAACTTGATTGTGGTTTCATGGGAAATGGCTGCTCCTGTGTTTCTGTATGGCCCATACCAGCAGAGTTTAAGGAGGGTTGCCTTGATTCAGTCGTGGCTGAAATGGGTTTTTCTGGGTTTAAAGAATCAGGAGTCTCTGGTTTGTGTTGACTTGCCAAGTGGACAAAATGGCTATTGGTTGGGGTGTTGAGAGACTGAGAGACAGATGAAGAGGAAACAGATGAGCCGACCTGAAAGCCTGGTTTGGAGACAGCAGGCGCATCATTTCCACCATCATGTTTTTTATTAGAAGAATTCTTTCCATCATTTCTTATCAGGAAATCAAGAAAGGGAATCTTTAGATTGAATTCATAGCTTTTGGGTTTGGGTGACAGATATTTCTTCTGTGGTGGAGGCTGGGGTAGAACGGTCTCCTTTGGCCATTTGGTGGCAACATTAGATCGTGGCTGCAAGGGGTTTGCAGGCTTGAGGTTTGAGGCTTTTTGGTACACAATGGGATGGTTTTGTTTACAGATATGGAAAGGGGCCATCATTAAACGTCCCTGCTTTTCCAATGTTTTGTCCTGGGCACTGATGTAGTAGAAAGGATGACAGTTCTCATAGTTGTAGGCTTCTTCCTCCTCTCCTTCACTTTGCCAAACTCCCGGTTGCACAAAACGTCTGGCTATGAAAGAAAACAGGTGAAGGTTAATTTACAAATTACATTGTAAAATTTGGACATTTAGACTATATTTTCCAAACCAACACCTCTAGAACCTCAACAACATATTTCTGCAGGAATCTATCATAAGAGCATAATTCATTTGATCTATTTAGCTTCATAATTGGTGATTAGCAGCACAGAAACAGTTTGCTAATGCACCGAGCTACATTACTGTTTTTTCAAATGAGGTTTCTCTGGGAGGAACAAGAACAAAGCAGAGATGTGCCATAAAGAATAAACAGGCCTGACAGTTGGCTTAAACAAGGTTCTTGTTTAGTTCCCTGTGCGACATTTTAAGCAGCGTAACATGAAGCACAGGACAACTCATATTTATTGTGTGGAGCATTTAGACCCTGTAACTCCATAACATTAAAATACTGCAGATATACTCTACACAGTCCTGTTTCAATGTACATGGTCTTGAAACAGGACTGTGAATAAAGCTTACTTTTAATTAAATTTTTTTTTTTTTTTACTTAGACTGGTATTTAACTGACAATATTTAATCATTAGATTCAGATTGTAAAAATTACATTTCAGGACTGAAGAAGAGTGCCACCTCGAGTCCCCTTTATAGATACTCCATTTGCTGTATAGCAAAACAATATTGCAATATAGGAAAGAGTAAAACAGTTACATGTGAATTTTTTGTATTAGTTCCCTCTTTTCCCTGTCAGTCACTGACTTAATTACAGACATATTGCTTTATTCTGCCACACAGAAATGCGGTTACATCAGGAAAGTTGTTAATTTAAATCACTCAACCTCCAACTTTGAATCCATGAAGGCGGAGGAGGAATGGCAGCCATCCTCCACGCCATGGACCCAGACAGTTTTAATTTGAAAGGCTAACTTAACCTGTTCCTAATCAGAAAACTACATCAAGATACAAACAAAAGCAAATGCACAGTTTGCTTAAAGCACCACCCTGACTTGTCAGTGCTGTGTATCAGATCGTAGGCCTAGTGTTTGGTCTTACTTTAATTAGGGGAGCTGTTAAATTGTTGCTAATGGCTCAATTCTTAACAGGGTTAGACTTGCGGGACGTTATAGTAACACAGGTATTTTAACAAGAAGAGTTTTAGCTCCATTTCCAAACAGCAGGAGGTGAGTCAGGCTTACCTCTTGGAAAAGCTGAGGAGTAGTTCACCTCACTCAACAAACAGACCAGCAATAATCTGTTAAACAGTTACAAATACACAGTCAAGGTAGACCCAGACAAACAAAGACTCAAGTAAATAAAATGGACCTAATAAAACCCATTTGGTTTCATATTTAATGTGTTACCTTGTAATTAGGAAGCCAGCAGCCATGACTGCTGCAGTCGCTGTGTCCTCACAGCTGCGAGCGCTGAGCTGGACTGTGCAGCACAGCTGCCCTGTCAGCCGTGGATCCAGAAAGCCCAACTTCCAGCTCCTCCAACCAAACACCCACGAGACTCAAAGTCGAGCATCCAAGCCACGCGGCTGTCTGTGTGTGTCTTTTCCATCTTCCTAATGAAAAGTTGGGCTGAAGCAAACTCTGCCTCACACAGGTGCAAACACTTGATGTGATTGGCCTGGCTGAGACGTTAGAATGATTGAATCTATGCCCCAGAGGGGATGTGGACAACAAGAACACATTTGATTTCAACTTCTACAGTACAGTGCTGTATTGTTTTCCTTTTACAGTTTTATGCGCTTATACACATTTTGACATGAAATAAAACACTAATAATAAAAGTCTTGCATTGAGCTCAAGCACCAACATAAAATAAATCTGCCACATTAAAGGCAAATTTATCAGAGGTATGAAATATATGTTTTTTATGTTAAGAAAGCAAACAAAAAAAGACTTGAGATACTTTAAGATTAAATAGCTGAATTGTTCTTGGGGTGAGGCAACACTACATGACTGAATGTGCTGTTTAGCCTTCAACCACAAACTGAAGCTAATTCAACGACACACTACAAGAACCTGAAAGTATCACCACAACCAGATTTGGCTGTGGAAATTCATGAACAGCTGAAGGAGGATGAGTCGGTCTGTCATCTGTGGCCAAGCCAGGAAATAAACATGTAAAGGCTCCAACATACACACAGTGAACTTGGGTGCTTTTATTTTGACGTTACTGAGAAAATCATGAGAGAAATAAATGAACACTGAACAGAAAATGGTAAAGGGACAGAACACATTTACAGTGTGCGTTAATCAGCTTGACATGTTTGAATACAGCTCTAAAAGCTTTCAAGCTATGTTCAAAAGGTTGATGAAAGATGAATAAAATGTTAATATCCGATTCAAACTCTAGAGTAGACTGTTTCCTCTTTTTTGTACAGAGGAGGGAGAGTGGATACACTGACAAAGGATGTCAAAAATAGAGCTGCCAGGCAATAAAGAGGAAGACCTCAAAGAAGATTCATGGACAAGCAGAGGGTGGAGTGAAAGAGAAGGATGCTGGGATAGGAGGAGGAGGCAGACGATCCACTCTGGCTGAAGAATAAGATGCACTGGGATTTAACCCAGTGAGGTGTAAGTGAGCTCAAGTTCACACAGACTCACCAAAATGTGATAACAGAAAATGTTTTGTTTTATTTCACTCGATCTGATGATTTTCTTTGTGTGGTTGGTGTGAAAAACAAACAAACCCCCACCATGGACGTGTGGATGAGGAAAACTGATATTTAGTCACGGAACGTCACAGGTGTGCGCTTTGTTCGATGCGACGCTGTGTGCCATGTTATTGTTTACATGAGATGAATTTGTACAATGGCGGATAGAGACAAAATACTGCTGCTGTTAATCTGACTATCTGCAGTTCTTACACAGTTATTGTCTGTCCGTTTAGAAAGAGAGGCATCAGAGGGAACTTCGGACGTGGCCTCTACATTCAACACAGCTGCTTCCACAATCCTAACGTGGTTTTGAATAAATTTACTTTTTATTGTTCATTCCTAGTTGAAAGTCTACACCAACCAAAATACTTTAATTATTAACATTTGAAATGCTGAAGGCATTTGAAAAGTAACAAATTTGTCTGCCTTTCCAAGAAAACAAAACCTTTTTGGAAGTACTTTGGTCTTTCTGTCCCAGGCTTCTGATTTGCCAACATTTCATTTTTAGCGTTTACATGTGGACAGATATTTTTAAACGAAAAATCTCCAGTTTTACCCGTACACAAGTGTGGGGCTGCTCAAGCTCTTGCCAGTTCTAGGCCAATCAGCATTTTGTCCATTGCCTCCAACAGGGCTGAATCTGGTACCTGACCAGACTACCACTTACAGTTTTGCGCTACATCCAGTCACTTTAATTTTCAAGTCTGATTTGGAGGAAAAACGCAAGGTTCTTGAATGATATGCTAGTAGTGGTGTGGCAGGCGTTAAAAGCTTGAGAGCCTGCAGCATTAGGTTTTAGATCAGGCACACTCAAACTTATCAGCCTCAATTTTAGGGGCAACATATTGGTTAATAGTATAATCTGAGAATTACATATTTTGCTTAAAGGGATTTGGCCAAGGCCAGCCAATCTGGACTGGGTGCAGCAGAAAGTCTTTCAGCAACTGCCAAACCTCAGTGCTCCACTGCATTTGATAAAGGCTCAGGAGGGGACAGGTCTCATTTAACCCTTAGAATCATCTTACCTAAATCTTTGTCATTATTCACCAGGGAGAAAACTTTAAACATTCAAGTCATCCTCTGCAGCCAAGAACTGTCCTGGAGAACAAGTTTAAGATGTGAGAAACCATTCAATACTCTGCCAAAACTGACAGTTTGGGTGGCTAATCTCGTGTCTTGGCAGGCAGCGAGCCCAGCTTGAGACTCCTCAGAGCAGGAATTCGACTGAAGTGTCATTCGATGGCCAAATGGAGTTTCTACATAAATTGGAGTGCCTGTAACCTTGTACAAGAGCAGGTTGTGAAAGACAGGACACTTGATTTTGTGTCAAGCCTGCGATAATTGTGAAATACTGGGCTCAGTTGCATCTCTAGATGCAGTTCAAAATGTACATCACCCAAATATTTAATGAGCTGCAGAGTCAGTGGCTTTTAACATTCGGGCATAGACTTGTTGCTTCTTGCTTACAAACACATGAATGTCATTAGCTCTAAAGATCAACCTCAACCCAAATGTTCAGCTATTCTTTCAACCTGACAGAAGACGAGAGAAACTGCAGGAGAGCTTTCACACTTTATTTTAGATAAATACAGGAGATCCTTGTTGCACTGTAGAGCTGTGAAGGAGGAAGAAATATGAGGAACAGGTTTTAACCATCAAGAAATGCCATGTTGTAATAGCCAAAAACCAGTGACCCACCTGAGCCCTGCGAGTTTGGCTCGTCTCTTCCATCCATGTCAGTCTGAAGCTGACCGATGGAAATTTGGCCAAGGGTCAGAAGATGGATGCTTTACATGACCCCAGTGAGGTCCATGGTAATACCACCAGTAGTCGTTCCACGTAGGATTCATGTGGGAGTTGTAGTAGCCACTGTAAGGGTCGACATATCTCTGAGGATGGCGCGGCCTTGATGGGCGTTCCAGTCCATCTGGCTCCGGAAATGCAGAGACCTGACCAGGGCGGCCTTCGTCACGATGATGATGCTCACGATGATGATGCTGCTCGTCGGGGTGCGGCCTTGCATGAGCCGGCACATAAACCTGTGGTCTTTGGTGGCCCAAATCAGCTTCCTCAGGCCTGTGTCGATGTCCGCCGTGATGTTCCTGGCGGTGTGGAGAACCTCGTGAAAAGGGAACGGATAAGCTGAACTGGTAGCCCAGCTTGGAAGCATCATGGCCATGGCGTCTGCCGGGATTATTAAAACTGTTGTCAATAATAAAGCCACTTGGTCTGTACCGAGGAGGATTAGCACCATCACGAGACTGACTTGAGCCTGAGGATTCCTTTTGCTCAAAGCTCCTGGGCTTGGCCACAAGGTGGTTTCTGTGTGCTTGAGGCTGGAGCGGATACGTTTCCATGGGTCTGTGGGCGGGAATATTGGAGCGTGGCTGATACAATCTCGGGGATTGGACTTTGACCTGATCGTGCACATTAGGGTAGATCCTTGGATCTGTCGGCCGCAGAGCCCTCATGTACTGGAAAGGACGAGGACTTCCATACACATCGTGTTCCCCTCTTCCACCCTGCCACGCTCTAGGCTGCACAGGACTTGTGGCTGAGAGAGAACATGGGTAAGAATACAGATTATACCAAGCTAAAAAAACATCTACAGTTTGACAGTATACTGATGCAGATTTATCTTAACAGGAGGAAAGTAACTTAAATTTGATAGGTTTTTTCTGAGTGGACCAAAATTTGTTTCCTAATCTGTAAGGTGGCAAGAAATGCAGATGATTGCAGCTCAAGAAACTTTTGCACAGACCTACACTTACTCATTTAGGAGGCTCTCTGGGGAATGTTGGGTTCAGAAACTTTTTGAATGTTTAACTACAGTCTGCTTTTAACGTCACTTTAATTGGAGAAAGTATCAGAATTCCAAGAGCGGGCCCAAGCCTCCAAACACACGCCTTCCAGTTCTTATCCACATGTTCTCCTAGTTACAAGCTGTTCATTCCTTTACGTGCCCCACCCTGCCTCCCTTTTAAATTCTTTATCTTCTTCACATCTATTTAGTACACGGGGGATCTGCCAGGCCTGGGAGCCGCTGCCAGTACCCTTTGAGGCCTTCCCCAAACCGCAGCTCAACTGGCCAAGCCATTCACCTTTACCTACTAAAACACTGTCAACCCTAAAATGACGACGTGGGCCCAGCAAGTGAAATTTGATTCTAGAATCCGTCATTTCAGTTTCTTCCCGAAAGTATTTACATAAACAGATATTTCCCTGTGTTTAAAACTTTACAAAGGGTTAGTTTTCAGTGCCATGAAGAGCATTTAGCCGTTTGTTACCATCTTTTCATTCAGTTGCAGTTTGGACTGTGCGATTCTCTCCACTTTTTGGTTTGGACCAGTCCTCAATTTACCATCTTCAGGTGGGCCAACATGCAGCAGTTTGTCTGCTGACAGGTATGAAACTGATGGAGCATAACTCCAGTGCTAGCCTCCCTACACTGGCTTCCTTACAGGATCCAAGTTGTGTTTTTACGTCAAGAAAACGACCAAACCCCTTCTTACCCATATGAGCTTCTATTCAGGCTCCTGAAAGTATGAGGTTAAGTTAAAAACCAGTGTTAATTATTCCATGGTCCAACTTAAATTTTGTTGTGACAGAGCCTTCTGTGGCAGGCCCCCTCCCTCTAAATCAGGCGTGGGGAACTCCAGGCCTCGAGGGCCAGTGTCCTGCAGGTTTTAGATGTGTCCTTGATCCAACACAGCTGATTCAAATGGTTAAATTACCTCCTCAACATGCCTTGAAGTTCTCCAGAGGCCTGGTAATGAACTAATCACTTGATTCAGATGCGTTGACCCAGGGTGAAATCCAAAACCTGCAGGACACTGCCCCCCCCCCCGAGGCCTGGAGTTGGACACCCCTGCCTCTAAATACTGGATCTGCACAAACACTGGAACATCTTACGTTTCTACTAAAGACACATCTTTAATGGACTGACTTTCAGCACATATTGACCCAAACAGCAATTTTTACAG